CAGGCAGGTAGGTTAAAGAGGCTGCCTGTGCTACTGTAGAACACTGATAAAGGGTTGAAGTTTGAAATTCAGGAGACTTGGATTTGGAAACTGGATGTATCACTTAGATCCAATGCCAGCTGTCTGACATTGGCAAAATTACTTAAATTCTCCAAGCCTCAATTTCCTCATCCTGAAAGTGAGAATGATAATGATAACTCTTAGTGTTACAACAATAAAATGAGGGATAAGAGGAAAACATGGAGCATATGGCTTAGTTCATAGTGCTCAGTAAATGATAACGACTATTATTCGCAAATTATAGGTATAGAAGCAATAAGACACAGAATTGACATTTTTTTTTCCTGCAGGACCAGAATGAACCACAAAAAGTGATGCTTTTTTATCTAGTAAGAAAACGAGGACAAACCCCTTATTTTCAATGTTGAAAGAATCAGCTCTACTGTTGTTTCCCTTAGGCTAGCGGAAAACTTCACCATTAAATTCTTTGGATTTGCATTTTCCTGAACAGAGCTTCCTAATGATGCCACCAACTTAAAGCAGCAAGTTGCTTTTAAGTTTGGTGGATTCATTGGCTTTGTTCTTCCACCCAACATTTCTCATTATTGAAAAATCCCATTCTTTGTCCAAGAAGAGAAATCCACTGCCGCACCCTCCACGAAAATTTTATTGATATTACTTAACCATAGATTTAAGTTAGGAAATTTCTTCTAAGACCTATATCTTTAGTCAGGACATATGTGCTTTATACCTTATTTGGAGCTAGTTAGCTTGAACTGACCAGTTTTGAGCCAGTAGCAATTTATTAGATGCAGGCATCTGCTCAGATTTGCAACATGTTTATTACTCCAAAAGAGGCACTAGACTATCTAAGTTCTATATTTTTGCTTTGCATTCTTCCATACACACAAATATGGCTTATATAATATCTGTGTCTGCACCAGCATAGAGAATAAATCACCTAAGTTTATTATTTGGTGAAACTTCCGAATTCTTAAGAAAGACAGCATGTAAATACTATGCCACAAATTACCAGTACAAAGGTCTAATGTGGAGGTCAATGAAAATGGGAAAAGATTCTGGATTCTCCTCCCCCAAAGTAATTTTGTCTGCAAAAACTTCCATGTGTAAGTATGCTTGCCTATGTTCATTTACCTGAACATTCTACAGTTTCATCAAGGAAGACACAACAGATAGTAAGAACCAAGGCACTGGGTAGACCTTGTGCTTTCATTGACACCAATAAACTTTCAAAGACATAGTTACTAGGGGAAGTTTAAGAGGATCCTAGAAACAGGCTACCATCGCTCAGGAAGATGTTGTACCGTGCCAGAGTTCTCCTGCTGCTCGCCCATTCCCTGGGTGGGAATTTAAAATCACAACAAAACAAAAACAGAGGCAGTGGCCAGAGATCTAGGAAGCAAGACTTGAAAGAAGCAGCTCTCCAGGTCACATTCTGTGGCTATGGACCCCTTGTAGATCTTCCGCTGAATTTTTTAAAGGTGGCAGTGATAGGTAGTATTGAATGGCAGCAAGTTCTGTGGGATATCACTTGTGGTTGCTTGAGGAGTTTCTTCTCTTCACCAGTGTCTGGTGTAATTAGAACATACTCCAAAATATACCCGGAATTTTCCCCGCAGCCTCTGCAGCACTACATCTTCCTGGCATAGGAAGATCCCCTTGGGGGATCAGTTCGTTCTCTCTCATTCTCAGGTAGCTCACTACTCAATCTACTTTGTTTCTGATCACATACTTCGCCGCAGTTCTAGAATTATCCTCCAGTTACTCAGCATCTGCTGTAAGTCCACCTCCTGCAAATGAATACGGGAACCCTTTATTTTGCAACTTGAAGGTCTGGTCATCAAACAGGAGCTTATTTTCCTTCCCGATTGGTTAACTGTTATTGCCCTCTGCTCCTCCATCAAGCTCCTTTTTACATCCTTTCCTGCTCCTTCCTTCCTTTGCTCCTCTAGCTGAGACCATCCCCAGAATTTACCAATTTACCGCCACAGGAGACTTTGGGGCTGATGCCTGCCGCTGGTGCAAAGACAGAGCCCAGGGGCGAATCCTCTCTGGACTTAAGGTCCTTTGCTTTCTTGACTGTCTCATACGCATGCACTACTGTGCACACACCTACTTTTTATATGTTTTAAAGCGCGAAGAGACTGAGGAGAAGGCAGGTTAATGAAACGTGGTTCTCCATTGAACTCTGCCAAAATTGTGTCTGTGCGGTGGCGAAATGTAGAAGGTAAAATCAAACTCTACCCCAAAGTGGCAGGTTCTGCTTAGGGTCTGGCACTTCCCAAAACAGCGGAAGAGAGTGGATGGATATGCCACAGGTTCCGTTAACACATTGCTAAAGCCAAACTCTAAGGGGGAACAAGTGGTTTTTCTCATTTTTAGGTTCCAGAAGCAGAAACAGAAGACCGCCCGCCGCTAATATTCCTCTCCCTCTTCTCCTGCTTCCCATCCCTGTAAGAGTTCTCTCAAATCTTTCCTAGCTCTCTTATGACAGCAGGAAAACAGTTTCCTGGCACCCCCTCCTCCCCGCCCCGCGCAACTGCACGCTTTCTCGGTGCTGGTCAACGCCCCCACCTAGCGGTGTAAACTCGCCAGCTCCGCTTCCTTCTCCTGTGGGCTGCAAAATAATGAAGTCTAGCTAGGCGTCTGCTGTGGGAGGATAGAGTTGAAGTATTGGGATGGGGAGAAACTCTTAAAAAGTGGTGAAAAAGAAGCTAAAGATGCTGGCGAAGTGCTGGGCTTTAGGGACTGGGGCAGAGGACACAGAAGGTTGTGATTTTATCCTCACAGCGGCTCCTGCAGCCCAGCCCGCATGAGAGGAAGTCTTTGGAAAACTGCCACCTTAGTCAAAGGAGTGCCTTCAACGCATAGAGCATAGATTGGCTCTGTTTTCTTCATGACACCTAATGCTATATGATACTGTATGAGGTATTTAGGGTTTTTTTTTGAAACTGCCGGTTTGTCTCTTCTAGAATATAAACTGCTGAAAAAAGGGTAGAACCCAAACCCATTTGGCTTCCATACTCCTTGTGCCTAGAAAAATAGATTTTTCCCCCCAATTGTCTGACTTAGAGATCTGGGAATTTAAGGAACTTGGGTTTGGGGTAAAGACTCTTCTCGCAAAGGATCTCAATTATTCTACTTCTAAAACGGGATGGATGATGGATTAGATAATCTGGCTCTGAGACTGAGTGGTTCTCTTTAAAATATGCTTGCGCTTACCCCTCCCGCCATGAATTAAATTACAATGAAGTTTTGGTTTTAATAGATGTATTCGACATGCCAAATACTGATCCAGACTTTTGGAATCACTTCGGACCTGTAACTGAAAATACAATGTCCTTTTCTGGTGTTAACCTTAAACTTTCCTCATTCGTAGTTCTACTCTGCATTTGTTTCTGTCCAGGTTAGAGGGGAGACTGAGGACAGGGTGTCTGCTGCAGGTTGGAGACCAACTGCCACTGCTTGCTGCTGCTTACTGTTGCTTAAGGCACACAGCGCCGACGTGTTTGATGAGGGCAAGGAGGCATATTGATGACACTGATAGTGTCTTCAGTATCAATAAACGGCTCCAGTGCCTTCCCTCTTTTTTTCTTGAATTTTGATGACCTCCTTTCTTGGCCAGCTGTTGGAAAGAACATGCTCACAGGGAACTGTTTTACAGAGCACTGAACTGCTAAGCGGCTTGAGCAGGAGGGTGTAGCAGAAGGTTTAATTTCACATGCAGTTGGTTTCTGTTTGTGATACTTTTGCATTTTCCAGATAGCTTCTCCCTTCCCTCTCCTCCCTTGACTCACAAAGTTAAAGGACAGAGATTGAATGACAAGCACGAATTTCGAAACCTAGATAGGAAAACTGTTTTAATGTAGCAAAAGTTAAGGATGACTTGAAGCCCCAAGCCTGAAGTGTAAAATACACATATTGGCCGTTTCCTTCTAAGGCGATATCGCTGGCGTCTCCTTCTAACCTGGGTGTGGCCTTCGGGGTAGGATTTGATTCCTGAGCGAAGAGCTCAAGAGTGTGAGCTTGCTCCACCTAGCCTAGGCCTCTGGGGATGGGGGAGGGGGTAGGAGGAGGAAGCTTAGGCAGGGACGTGAGACTAGGTCTGTAACCGCGTCTAAGGGCGTGGGTCTGACTGGCAGAGCGCTTTACCAGCTTCAAAACCCGCAGAGACTAGAACAGGACGCCTTCACCCTATTCCTGGCCAGAACTGTGACTTCTGGATAACAGGGTCGGGAAAAGGATTAGGGGCTCAGAAACAGAGAGAAGGCGGTAGGACCCGGCGGGAGCTTCCTCTCTTGAAACGGGGTGAGAGGAAAAGAGGGAGGGGAGAGAAAAAAGGAAGGTGATGGGGCGCAGTCCGCACTCACCGTGCGGCACGAGTTGCTCAGGCTGACAGGAACCGGACTCTATAAAAGCAGCCCATCTCCTTTGCCTCTTACACCCTCCTTCTAGGGTGGCGCACGCCGGAGTCCCTCCAGCTCCCCAAGACACCTGCCCCTGCGCGGTGTGCCGCGCCCTTTCCCCCAGACCCGTGTGTCTAGCGGCATGACTCCCAGCGGTGCCAGTGGAACCAAGGTGGTGGTGGTGGCAGCGGCGGCGCGGTGGCAGCAGCCGCAGCTCCAGTCCACGAGTCTCCCCTCTTGAGGTTCTGTCTCCGCGGGGCAGCTTGGCGGAGTGGCCAGCGTGTGAAAAGACAGGGTGCGCAGAGCTCCATCGCAAGGCGCGGCACTGCGCGACTCCTAGACTTCACCCCACCCAAGTCTGGGGGCCGCAACCGCCGCAGGAAAGTGCCCCGACTCGGGGAGGGGGGCGGGAATGCAAAACCAGGACTCCTCGCTGGCCTTCAAGCTTTGGTCTCGACAGCTAGGAAACTCTGGCGGGAGGAATCTGCAGATCCAGGAGCGCCCAGGTTAGGAGAGGCTCACTCCTGACAACTGGGGTAAGATATCCCACTTGACCCCCGAGCCCCATCCTCAAGCAATACTTCCCCCTTCTCCACTCAATCCCAACAGAGAGCCAGAGCGGAACTAGGCTGAGTGGGCCAGTCATTTAAAAACCCAGAGCTAGGACGGGGCGTGGAAAGGAGCAATCAGACACGCGGCGGCAGCGCCAGGCGCACTAGAAGTGCAGGGGACGCGCCCGCATGCTTGGGCTGCCGTGTCTGTGACCTCTAGTTCCAGCTGGGAACCTGGGCGGAGGAGTTAATGAGAAGCCCACGGAACTGACAAGCCAAAGGAGACAAGCCTGAGGTCTCCATGGTCCTTCCGTCCTCTGCTCTCTCCCGCGTCCGCTGCATGCTCAAGCACTGCGCCCCAGAGCTGGGGCGAGGTGAGCCATGGAGGAAACGGGTGCTCAATGCCCCCCACCGCTCTCCGCTGGCTCCCAGATCGGGGTACCTCAAGCCAACCTGTCTACTGCTCCCTCCCACAACTGCAGCGCCGGGAACTACATTTACCAGGACTCCATTGGACTGCCCTGGAAAGTACTGCTGGTTGTGCTGCTGGCGCTCATCACCTTGGCCACCACACTCTCCAACGCCTTTGTGATCGCCACCGTGTATCGGACCCGGAAACTGCACACCCCAGCCAACTATCTGATCGCCTCTCTGGCAGTCACCGACCTGCTCGTGTCCATCCTGGTGATGCCCATCAGCACGGTGTACACGGTCACTGGCCGGTGGACACTGGGCCAAGTGGTCTGCGACTTATGGCTGTCTTCGGACATAACCTGTTGCACTGCTTCCATCATGCATCTCTGTGTCATCGCCCTAGACCGCTACTGGGCCATCACGGATGCTGTGGAATACTCAGCTAAAAGGACTCCCAAAAGGGCGGCGGTCATGATCGCACTTGTCTGGGTCTTCTCCATCTGTATCTCTCTGCCGCCCTTCTTCTGGCGTCAGGTCAAAGCCGGGGACTGCTTGGTGAACACAGACCACGTCCTCTATACAGTCTACTCCACAGTGGGCGCGTTCTACTTGCCCACCCTACTCCTCATCGCCCTCTACAGCCGCATCTACGTGGAAGCCCGCTCCCGGATTTTGAAACAGACACCCAACAGGACCGGCAAGCGCTTGACCCGAGCCCAGCTGATAACCGACTCTCCTGGGTCCACGTCCTCGGTCACCTCCATTAACTCGCGGGCCCCCGATGTGCCCAGCGAATCCGGGTCTCCTGTGTATGTGAACCAAGTCAGAGTGCGAGTCTCCGATGCACTGCTGGAAAAGAAGAAACTCATGGCCGCTAGGGAGCGCAAAGCCACCAAGACCCTGGGGATCATTTTAGGAGCATTTATTGTGTGTTGGCTGCCCTTCTTTATCATCTCCCTTGTGATGCCTATCTGCAAAGATGCCTGCTGGTTCCACATGGCCATTTTTGACTTCTTCAATTGGCTAGGCTATCTTAATTCCCTCATCAACCCCATCATTTATACCATGTCCAATGAAGACTTCAAACAAGCATTCCATAAACTAATACGCTTTAAGTGCACAAGTTGACTTGCCAATTCCAGTGGGGTCGCCTAAGCGACCTTTGGGGACCAAGTTGGGTCTTTCCACAGGTAGGTCGAATCTTCTTTCACTGTTACTGGGTCGAAGCAAGGCTCTCTCTCCTGGGCAAGGGCAATGGATCCCGAGAAGCCTGGACAACCCTGAGAGAGAGAGAGAGCTCTGGAAGCAGAACTGTTCAAACTAAATCTAGAGCTTCTCTGCTGAGGAGAAGGTTCACCTCCTCTCCCGAAGCCCTGGGCTCAGCACAGATCCTGCAGCAGCCAATCACAAATGGGGTTGCGACTTTTAAAAATTGATGATGGATGGGGGAATCCCTGTCCCACTTTGGTATCATGGATGAGGCCCTCTAAAGCCCGTGGTACTTGTAGTTGTTGTCTGAAGCCTGTTGAGAGAGATCTACATACAGCCTGGCAGTACTTGAACTAGACGTTTAATAACCTGTGTCTTGGGGAGAACTTTGTGTTACAGCTTAATTTTAGAACAGTTACTTTGGCATCCTTCAATCTTCAGTTTTTGTTTATTTAAACTTGGTTGGAGAAACTTGTGGATTTGGTGCTTCAAACCCTAAATGTGGCTTGGATGACTCAGAGAAACGTTGAAGAGTTAACAGCAAAATTCTGATGCTAAGATTTCTATTTTTATTATAATTGAAAATATATGGGGGTAGGTGGGTGGGAGTGGGAGATTGTGAATGTTATACTGAGAATCAACACCTATGATTGTTTTCTGCAGATTTCTAATTTTTTAATTTTCTGTTTAGCAATCGTCAAACTATAATTCTAACAAGTCAAACAAAACATTATGTGTGTTAATGCCAAAGTCTGCAGATTGCTTTATTTTCCCTCCTAATTTCATGTCTCTATCGTTTTACACATTTAAATCCCCATGAATGGAAGGTATGAAGGGTGACTCAGCCCAAACTGCTGCTATATGTCTAATTAATGCAATCAGATAAACCTATTAGCATTAGGTACCTACTGTTCCTTAACAAGAAAAGTATTTTAATTCTTTAACCAATTCAGTGAGATATAAAGGAGACTGCTGAAATAGAAATGGCTCTTATACAATTAAGGAATGGGGGCAATAGGAGGATTATATTTTGACTTGTAAAAAATACCTTAAAATGCATGAGACATTTTTCTGATAGTCATTTGCACTTTCCTTCCCATCTGTGATTCCTTTGTGTGTGGACATATAACATAACTAAGAGAACTAGTTTTCTTGTCCAGAAATCATCAAAGTGCAGTGAGACCCCCTAAAAACTATATTAGAGTAAGAAAGACAAAGAGAGAAAGAGTGAGAGAGAGACTTGTTTCTTATTTCTTTTACCTTCCGATTTAAGTTTGGGTAGGAATAATGATTATTAGAAAATGACATGCAAGAAGTTTAGAAAAGCTTACAAAGGCTGAAATTGAGCCTATTTTCTTTATAATTTACCTCAGGCTTACTAAATAATCAGGAAGCTGGGAAGCCTTTTAACCTTGGAAATTTGTCACTGACCTGACACCTCAACTAATATAATATCTGAAATAATTTAAGTGTGCTTCCTTTTTCAAGTTTTAACAAAACTTACTTATTTTGGATTCACTTTGAGGACTCCCCAATACACTTAAAATATGAAAACAAATGTAGAAGCAGGCCTGAAGGGTCAACTGCATAGAATAAAATGTGTATGTGGAGTATTTTAAGAAGCCAAAGAAGATCCATACCCCTGTCTGCAGAGCTTTCTGCATTTGATACTTTCTGTCTTTATAAGATGGATTCACTCCCTGCATGAAGCTCTGTGTCCAGCTCATCAGACAATAGATGGATTGAGCTGAAGTACACTGTGTAGACCTTCACTCTGGGTAATAACTCTTGAAAATATACTATTCAAAAGTTCACATGTACTGTAGGAAAAAAAGGGAATTTTAATCATTATATCTGTCACTGGAGTAAGATAAAATCTTAGGATAAAATTAGAAAATCTTATATTACTGCTGGATCCCCGTTTCTTTGTTAGCTTTTTGTGACATTTCTCCTATGGAGCAATGTGCATAGAGCATGGCATTTGTTTTTATGTTGTTAATGCACTGGTCTTTTTTTTAATGCAGCTGCATTTTCTTAGGGCTTTAGAAGCAATTAAGCCAACTTCTAAGAGCCTTAGGGGGAAAAATTAACTGAAACAAATGGCCACTTACAAATGATTTCTTTATAGGGCACCTACAATGATTGTGTCCTTTATGAACAAAACATGGTCAATTTAGTCAGATGGGTTGTTTGCCATTTTGTAAATTACCCACCTTTATCATTGTTTGACAATTTGGCTGAATTGACTAGATTTGGGCATACTGTATCAAGTAGAAGCTTGCAAACCCTTGTAGTTATAAAAGATCTTGAATCCTCATCCAGCATTGCACATGATTATGCAAAGTGCATTATTCATCCCAGGGGTGTACAGTTAAGACTGTTAAGCTCCTTTTCAGTTACTACTGCCTGTAGCATAGTTTGTTTCATAAACTAGACACATGGCTTTTTTGCAGACTATAAAATGGGAGATGGAAATGTTTAACTTACATGAAATGAAAATATATTTTCATTGGCTGTAGTAACAAATAACATTTTCCATATTATTCACTTGCACAGATTTTCACACAAATATATGAATGTCTACTCATCTAAAAATACCAATATTGTCTTGTGTTTATAGGAATTTTAGAGTTTCCTTTTTAAAAATGGACACTGCACCCATGAATGAATATTTATTGAGTTCAAGAAATTTCGTATGGGATAATATTCTTCACTTTTCCTCTTTATTATCTTAGTTTTGTCCTCCTTGACCAGGAAACCCTGAGAGGACTATAATTCACTCAATCAGTAAAATCTCAGATTATGTGTCTTTGATGGAGTTGCTGTGTCTGAAAATTGCTTTTGATATTCTACCTTTCAGCAAATGTATAATTGGAAATGAAATTTAGAAAAATAATGAAATAAAAGTCCTTTTGGTGTTCTAAAAAGCATTTGAATAGTAGTTCTATTGCTGTGGAAAGATTGGTTTACTGGATTCTGGGTTGTGTTTTGAAGTATGAGCCTTCATGAGAGAATGACCGAGGGTAAATTACATTGTGGCACACCATATGTGCTGCCCTGATTTTGGGGGCAGGGAACTCATTTATATCTGTAGGAAGAATTTAAAAGAATTAAGCAGATTGTGCTCCCACACTCTGCAAAGAGGGTAAGTTACACCCACTACCACATTCCAGGTTAGCATTTTTTACAGGTAACAGTTGATCTCTATGCTAGGCAGTGAGATTCCAAGGTAACTAAATGATGCTTAAAATACAGAATGAGGAAAGGGAGGAGCTGGCTGAGAAGCAGACTTAGGGGACAACTGAGAGGAGTAGGCTGATTTACCTGAAGACCAGTAAAGTGTACAGAAAGATGGCTCATTATAGTCACAAAGTTTTAAGTTTTAGTAACAAATAAAGCTGTGTGGCTCCCTTTCCAAAAATATCATCTACTTGCAAGTTTTTGTAAAGGCTTGGAATCTATTTGTGTAAAGCACTTATCAGAAGTCTTACATTGTTTTTGGTTGTCATTATTTCCCCATGACTCCATTATTGATGCAGGACATCTATAACATATAAAATCAGGGCTGCTTGGGAGAGGGTGGTCTGGGGAAGACCAAACTAGCTGAATTAGAAGACTGGCTAAAATAAATGTGACAGAGGTTTGCAGTCTTTTACAATTATCTTGCTAGGCTGTTGACACCCAGCCTAAAGGACAAAAGGGATTACAAGATGAAATTGCCAAATACTTAGTTTCCTATAGCATTCTTTTACTCACTTTTAAACCTCCCTTTCACTCTTCTTCCTTGTCTAAATATTTATGGTTATCTTCCCAGAGTCTAAAGTCCTTTGCTATATCCACATCTATTCTCCCCTCCTCATTTTCTATATTTAAAAAAATCCTGATAAACCCATGATAACCAATAATGATGTGTATGGTTTTTATTTTAGCTGTGAAGGGTTGGTTAGGTAGCCAAACATTTTTATGTCATACAAAAGAAAATTGTTGATCCAAATGAATGTGTAAATGGAGGAGGCAAAAGCTTTCAACTAGGCAACCTTTTGGAAAAGAGAAGAGGCTGCTAGGGGAAGGATATGGGAAGTGACTCTTCTGCAACTTTCATCAAAACCCTCCCTGGGACAGTCCACCAGGGGGCAGAGTGCCTCCGAGTTGCTTAGCGAATGTAGCTAAATTCACAGCCTCAATCCTTCTTCCTGGAGTTTTGAGAGTGGTATTAACTCCTCTGAGCTCAGTGAAACCACAGGTACATGAGCCAACGAAGAGGATATAAAAATAGCATATTTTTCCAAGTTAAAAATCCAGGCAGAAGATTTGTAAAGCAAACCTGAACGTTTTTTTCATATCTGCAAATTATTTTTAATTAACAATATTTTAAAGTATTGTGACTTTTTAATAATGTGGTAGTGAATGAGATCGAAGGTTAGAAGACAAAACGTATTTCAAAATAAAGGGAACTCTTCATTAGTATCTTTCACCATCCTGATTTTTCTTATTAGTGTGCTTTCCCTTTCAAAAACATGGGTTTGAGGTTGACAAATCCATAACTCAAAGGCAGAACAGGGGCCATTTGCCACTTACAGAGAGGTCTGCTTTCTTTGCACAGAAGTAAAGCAGACTTACATATTAGTTTTTCCCAAAAGGAAGACCTTCATGTCTAAGTGATTTGGCATTTACTTTGAAAAGAGGCATAAATAAATGTGAATATAATATATGCATCACAAAAATAAAACTTGTGTAAACAAATGGATCATATATAAAATGAGAAAATGGATGTAGTGCCACCGCTGTCCTTCTCATAACATTACTGTTGGTCTTCAGCAGTTTCGTTGTCTACAGTGTGTGTGCGTGGGGATTCTATGTGCCATTTCATACATCTGGCAGTTATATCAGACTTTCAAAGTCAACGTCCATATTTTAGGATTATGCTAGGATTTTCAAGATTCCCTGAGAGACAGTCTGTCTGAAATTAGGCCAGCTAGCAGAGAGACTTAACACTATTCAAGTTAGTTTATAAAGGAAAATGCCCATTTCTTTTGACTTATTTTTCACATCTCAAAAAAATAAATCTCTTTAGAGGTCTATATTAACTGGAAATCTATATAATAAGAATGGTCTTTAAGCATTTTCTGGTCCCAAAGTGAACAGATGGTGATGAACGGATTCATTTATGAAAAGTTCTTTAAAAAGTCTACACATGTCTTGCTTTAATGATACAGGCAGGCATGACTCACATCCTCCTTCTGTGGGAACATTCCACACGTGGCACTGTGATTGGTTATCCTATATTGGGAAAAAGAAATCTCTTGCTCACGTATATGGTGACCATGTAGAGTGATGGGTTTGCAGTGACAGAACAGTGCAAAAAGGGAGGGTACTTGGTTGGGGGGCTGTGCC